GAGAGAGAGAGAGAGAGAGAGAGAGAGAGAGAGAGAGAGAGAGAGAGCGTGCGTGCTTTCCTTTTGTCAGAGCTCAGCCAGCCACAGCAGTGCGCCTCATTGGTGGTACTTCTAGCAAAACATAAACATCTTATATGCTGTCATTGTACCTTGTAATTTACAATGGTTTGACCTTCAATAAAGTGCCACATGTGACAGTTTGGACATTTGTTAAGATCTGTTAAGACAAAACCTCAAGAATTTCAATATGTCTTGTATTTCTCCTTCTACAGTCAATGGAGGAATTCCAGCAAAGACTTGCAGATGCTGAGAAAGCCGTGTACGGAGAGAGCAGAGGACGAGAAGGAGACGGAACAGCCAGAGGGGGGTGGAGGAAAGGCCAGAACGAGGCCAGAGAGAGATGGAGGAGACGAGATGGAGACGGGGCAGAGAGAGATCAGTGGAGAAGAAACGAAAGGGAGAGAGATTCCTCACCCACAGACAGAGAGAGATGCTATGCTGGTAGAGGAGAGGAGAGGGAGAGGGGAGGGTATCGAGGCAGAGGGGAAGAGAGAGGTCGAGAGGGAGACAGGTTTAGAGAGAGGGAGAGGGATGGAGAAAGAGAAGATGAAAGAGACAGTGAAATCGATAGAGACAGAGATAGAGGAAGGGAGAGGGATGGAGGAAGAAACAGAGGAAGAGATAGAGAGAAGGAAGGAGACAGTGAAAGCAATCGAGACAGAGATAGAGGAAGAGATAGAGAGAGGGATGGAGGAAGAGAAAGAGATGATGAAAGAGACAGTGGAAGCGATAGAGATAGCGATAGAAATAGGGATAGTGAAAGAAATGGAGAAAGTGCTGCATCATCATCTGCGCAAAACTGGAGTCAACGTTCTCCCTCTCTTGGGTCACTTAAAAGCCGCTTCCTCAAACCCTCAGAGGATCATGACCAAGGTGAAGGTGTGTTGATGTCGAGGCCTTTTCTGATTTGATGTTGGAATCAATTTCGACATATACCATCTATCAAATGCCATGTGCTCCTTGTCTTTAAAAGGAGCAACAACTGCTCACTATATATCACAAATCAGGAAACAATACTTGAACATGCCGCGAGTCTTGGAAGCCTCAACATGCTTTGCGATTTCTTTCCTGTGCAGCTCCACCGCGTCGTCGTCGTCCTCCAGCGCGGCCGTCCTCAGGATTCCTGAAACCCAGCTCTGACGACGAAGACTCTGGTCCGCGTAATAGCAATAACATGCCAGCCTGGAAGAAGAGCAGCAATCCTGCTCGGGAATCTGCCAGCTTTGAAAAACCCGAGCAGGAGAAAGAGAGGGATCCTGGGACAAGTGTCACTGCTCCTCAAGACGGTCCGCATGGTGACAAAGCCGCCGTGACGACAAGGTTGGAAGCTTTTCCTTTTGTTGCCTTAAAAACATGGTTTGCTAAATGATGTCGAACTGTCTGTCTGTCTGTCTATCTATCTATCTATCTATCTATCTATCTATCTATCTATCTATCT